TATTCATACGTAGAGCACACGGTATTCCGAAGTCGGAATAGTACAGCACTTTCCTTGAAAGAATTATGTGTGGATCCTTATTGCCTCATCTAAAGTGGAATTTTCGTGGGAGAAAATATTTCTTTTAATAAAATGGGGGAAAAGGAAACTTATACCTCACTGCCAGTCTATATATCTAGAAAAAATAGAAGAGGCCCAGGAGTTGGCCCATCAACCAACCATACAAAAAGACAACACAACACTCCTTTTTTCTCTGACTAGAAAAGCCAGGTTGCCCTGTCTGTTGCTTTTCCGCAAAGGCCCTTGAGGCTTGAAGGGCACTCTCGTGCTCTCAAAAACATTGGCTTTTGCCTGTGTTGTGGAGTGTGTGTACTGTTACAAAAGAGATGGCACTGCAGAGTAGAGCTCTCTTTTTTCTCTTTTTTCCTCAAGGTAGATGATATTGAATAAAAAGTTGGGAGTTGTCCCACAAAGCAGTTACAGTTGGGAAGAAGCAATCCTTCTAGGGATTGTTTTGTGGGGCTTCCCCTAGGATAAGGCCAGCATTGCAAATGTAGGATAATCCTTTCTTTGATTTGCCCTATAGATAATGCATAATGCATTCACATTTGAACTAGAAGGTAACAAGGTTTTTGCTCTTCTCTCTGGAGTTCCCTAACCATGGTAGACACTCCCTTTCTTTCTACGGATGCAGAATTTGGTAATTCCATGGAGCTTAACAAAATGAAATGGATTCGAATCAAACCCAAAGAAAATGTCATGAAGGGAAAGCATGTTATTACATTTTCGAAAACAGGAGAATCAAATCTTCATTTTTCTTTTAATATTCTACTGATGCATTGCCTGTAGATTATTGTTAATATTAGTACTTACTGAATTATGGCCAAATGTTAAACTAATCATTTTTCCTTTCTTGTTTATGTTTATCTTCCAACTTTCCTAGAAAATGATATTATCCAGCTCTATTTTCTTTCACCTTTTTTCTTTCTCCTTTTCTTCGTTCCGAACAAAAGTCTAAATGACAACTTCAGAGAATGTCGTCAAATGTTACCCTCACAGATAGATAAAAAGATACATAATTTGATGTTGTTAGGTACGTTGAAGGAACTATTGGGGTGGTTTTCCTAATAATGTTGTAGCTTAATAATCATACCCAACGTGATGAACATATAATTTTATATTTGCAAACGTAACCAGACAACGCATATGGTGTGTTAAGAACTTGAATCATTTGAAAATTTCCCTACAAACCACATCAGCAGTCAGTTAAGATGCCCTGACGCCCTTTGTGAACAAATAAACATCCCCTATCCCCAACCAAAAGAAAGGCCATAGAAATGGTCCAGCAAGTATGTGGCCCAAATATTAACTGGGCCAATAATTTTTGGACCAAATTAAAAGCATTCAATGCAATACTGAGAATCTGACAGGTTCTGCCTCCACTCCTTATATTCGATCTTTGGAATGATATATCTTGGTTGGACCAAATCTTGTCGAATCAAGCAGATCCAATGTCAATTGCTTTTTTTTAAGTCATAGATAGAAGTGGAACTTACTGCAAATGTTCAGTCCGATTCTGCAATGATTGATTTTCAAGTATGGCTAAGGTGGCTTATCAAATTATATATCTTACCCATCATTTGCAACCCTACTGAATTTAACCAAGTTTAGAGCAGCTTGCCAATAACTCTGTTTTACTTGCAGTCTTTTTATGTTCTTAGGATCATCTAATCGTAAATACGATATTCATATAGGTTGGGAGGGGGCGATATTACGGTGCAATTATAGTAACAAATCCATTAAAAACTTAAGTTTCAAGGCTTAGTTAGGTATAGGATGATTACCAACCATGAATACGTGTTGGTGTCTGCAGAGGTCTAACCATCATCATCTTGGAAATCTTGTAAATTTTGCAAGATTAAAAATGATACTTTTAAATTGCTCAACTAAGTCAATAAATTATTAAAAATTGTTTTCTTATAGTAATTCCAGAGCGAAATCGACCCCTGATGCAATAATCTCCCACCAACAGGAATCTTATAACTTGGCTCCAAGGCTTTTCAACAGATTATGGGCAGATTAATCTTATTATTTTGTTGTTATTAGTTTTATTAGTTATCAAATCTGAATACCTAATATGTTGTTTATTGTTCTCTATTTGTTAAGTAACGATATTCCAAACTTAATTGCCTGTTAACCAAGCAGTTGATGTTTTCTCTATTTTACAAGAGGAACGTTATAACTGACAAGTAATATCTCTGCGCATTTCTCCTTTATTTTTAAGTTTCATATGCCTTTTTGAGTTGATTTTATGCCATATTTTTCATATTGCTATCAATTCCAAAATATTATTATAACGTCATATTGTAATTTGGTTTTTCACACTATTTAAGTTTTATGTAAATTATACATTAAATCACGTTAGTTTTAAGTAACTTGTAAGGAGTAGCCCGTATGAAAATTACTTGATTAGCTCATCGTTTTCATAATAAATAAATCTATAATTTTTTTTTGAGAGCTGTAAAAATAAACTACAACGGTTATAAGGACACAGTTTCATTGTAAAATAAAAATTGGAAGACATGAAGCTGAAAATTTTCAATTAGCAATGTCACATTCTGGTTTATAATTTGTATCCACGTATTAGATTAATATTCTATTATTATACCAAGTATAAAATTAATATGGTGCCATGAAGTATCACAGCAGATCTTAAGGTCCATGCACAGTGGAGGAACAACAAACTGGCAAACCGGGAAATACCCCCTTTATCTACTTGTCTAAGCAAATTAATTATCTGGCTATTCCAAACATAATTATCTAAGCAATTTGTCCCCATTAACCTTTGCAATTCAAGTAGTTTAATAACAGGAAGCAGACAAATTAGTGTATGATTAATGTTTTATCCTTATAAATTTATCTAATCAACAATCATATAGAGTCAAGATCCTAATACAATAAGAGAATTGGCTGCATTTTTGTCACCATTGGGAGCAAATGACAAGTTGGAAAAAGCAGTAGCTAGTCCATATATTCCAAATATATGGCAGCTGCCTTTTAGCGTTGGATTCAAATATGGAAATGGAATCAGTGGCTTAAAAGATTTGGCATTCGTGTAACCTTTGTTCTCTTCTTCGAGTCCCAAATGGTTGTATTCTTCTCTACCTAATCGAAATTTTATGGTGGAAAATTCAACGCAAGTCTCATCAAATTAGCAGAAAAGGTTAAAAGTAGAATTGGGGTACAAAAGGAGTACTTACTCTTGGTCATAACCCTCTACTTCATATGTGAAAGTCTAATCTGTTCTTTTATATATATATATATAATAATCATATGATTCTACTGAAATGTCCTTCACGAAAGGAATGCGTAACCATACATATGGATGGAAAAAGCATGATAAAACATACGAAAATAAAATATGAAATAAAAAGTATCTGATGTCTCATGGACTCTTTATTGTATACTAGTTTTTATCAAAGACTCAACCAATCAAATACAAGAATTCTTTTTGGGGGGGAACAGTGCTTAACCTTTAAAAGTTAATGATATCATCAAAGGAAAGAATGTAGCTTCTTTCAAGTTTCCTCCAATGTCATGGTAAGATTGACAGAGCCAGACGGCGTAGACCCCATTCCCTGCTACATCTTTTGTTTTTGAGCAATAACGTCATTCTTGTGCTCCCATGAGTCAGTTACATGCACTAAAAACGACACTACAATTTGCAGAACAAAAGCCTTGCCTTATGCCTTCTATGTTTTCTTGTCTTCTGGTCTAACCGATTTCCCTTCACTATTTCATGCACAAACACCTTTGTCTCTCCTCTCTCACTCATCAGGAGGCGGCTCTTAATTTCTTGGTTTTGGAATGGAAAATTTCTGCATTAGTCTGATATACCAAATGTGAGAAAAACATTTTGCTTTAATTAAAGAGACACGTGTGTGGTTCTCTTGAGACATGGCGTCCCAAGGGTCTTTAGCTAAAACGTTTTTGCGTGTGGTCCTTTGTTCCGAAATTCCATATGTTTAATATGATCAACACTCTCCAACAAAAATCCATATATCAAAATAAGAAACGACTACTGAAAAAAAAATGCTACGATAACTTTTTTAACTATTTTTTCTTCTTTTTTTAAAAAAATTGAACTTTCAATTTAAAAACTAATCATATATTTCTATTTCAATTATGTCGTCATGCTTTGTTACAATTCTCTTAGATCAATTAATGACAATTAGTGAATGAGAAGGAATTTATGAAATTTTTGCTTACTAAGAACCAAGATATCTTGAATTCAATATTTAATTGATTATCAGAAAGAACCAAAACTCTGTACCAAAAAGAGTACTACCTTGTTAACCCAGAGTAACTGCAAACTGTTCATTACGCAGAAAAAGTCTATTAAGACTTTGCTGATAATCAGTGTTAATTAGATTTTAATGTAAAATTAATTATGGGAAAGTTATAAATAATTGTTAATAATTAATTAAACTGATCAATTAATTCAAATCCTGGCTCTCCGGGACACCCAAATGCCGCAATCGGGCCGTTCGCCGATCCTTCACGTCCTTGGTTTTATTTGATAGCAACAGCCAACAAGACCTTTGATATTTTACATGAGAAGGATATTAAACCCCTTTTTGTTACATTTGTATAATTTTTTTTTGCTAAAGGAATCAAGAAAATGCAATTATTTGTGAAATAGGTTAAAAAATACCTAAATCAAAGTATGATTTTAATAACTGGCTTGAAGAAACAAAATCCCGTGCGTTACAATTATTTAGAGTAATGCTCTTTTTGATAAATAGAATAAAATTTTCAACATTACAATCTCAACTAAATTAATCTGAAATTATGGACTTTTAATACTAATACTTTTGAGATCTGAAAAGTGGAGTGCGTATGCCTCAATTTGATACCCATGTTATCCTCACATATTTGAGGTTAGAATTCCAATATTTATATGTGGTACAAACTTGGTTACATCTCAAAACAAGAAAATTTTTAAGTTACTTTATTTTGTTTTTTTTGGTCCCATGCTCCAAAGTCATCAGCGCGTGCCCGGTGCCGACCATACGATATCTTGTGCTGCACCTCTCTTTTCTTGCATTTTACCTGGTGTGCTAATCTGACAACTCAAAAGTCTCCTATATAAACAGCTCTCAATCTGCCACCGTTCGAACCTTATTCTGTCATACTTCAAACTCGAATTCAGGTATTCATCGACTGCCCAAAACCACCAGGGTCGCCACTTCTTCTTTTCCTACAAAACCAAACTCAGAAACCTGAAAAATAAAAACAGAACAAGGAACAGAGGCATTGCTTTGACCCTTGTCTGAAAACAGACATCCTTGGCCAGTCTAGTGAAAACCCATTTCCCAAAATCAGATTTTGACACTGCCCCTTTGATTATATTTCATTTTTTTTCTTGACAAAAATATTATGAAGAAGATTAGAGGGTTCAAGCTTGGACGCAAGCTAGTGAAGGTTTTCAAGTGGTTAATCCGACCCAGAAGAAGAATCTACAGGAACAGTTTCTTGAGTCCCCCAACCCGAAGGTACAATCCGTTATCCAGAATCTGCTCCTTTGCGAGGTTTCTTCGACGTGGAACCAAGGGGCTGTGCAATTCGAATGCGGATCCGGGTTTCATCCAATTGGGTGAGGATAGAGTGAAGCGGGTTGGAGTACCGAAGGGGCATCTGGCCGTGTACGTTGGCGATTCAGAAGGTGACACGAGGAGGGTGGTAGTGCCCGTAATTTATTTTAATCACCCTCTATTTGGGGAGCTGTTGAAGGAAGCCGAGCGGGTTTATGGGTACAATCATTCCGGTGGGATCACGTTGCCCTGCGGGATATCGGAGTTTGAGAAGGTGAAGATGAGAATTGCCGATTGGGAACATTGCCGACAGAAACCACATGGTCGTTATTTGTAATGATATTTTTTCCCCTTATATTATTGTGGATAAAAATTTGATTCAGCTAATTTTTGTGAATATAGGATGTCTATGATTATTTCTTTTGGAGCCTCTACTCTCTCTCTCTCTCTGTCTTTTTATATTTTTATCTTCTTTTCTTTTTTAACCAATCCTAAGTACCAAATGCCCAACTGATATTTTTTGGGCATAATTTACGAGAATCACCGCACCAAGGCTCCTTCCTTTTTCTTCTGTTTTTTTTTCCTCCTTTTCCATTTTTCTAATTTCATCGGTGATAGCTATTAAAGGTCATTTCCAGGTTAACTTTATATTATTAGTTATTAATTGTTACTACAAGTCCAAGCTTATCTTATTGGCTATTCGTGCAAAATGGCTACAATGCATTGTATAAGTAAACGAGAAATGTGATCGTCTTGCATACTGAATGTTTTGAGCCTTATCTTTTAGTGTTCTACTTTAAATGTATTTCTACAGTTTAATATTCCGTTCCCTTAAATACATAGGAGTCTCCTCATATTATGTGCGCTGAAAAGTAGTTTGTTGTCTATGTATCTAGATTTGAAATTTTAACGTCTTATAAACATTAAAATACTGTTAGCGTGAGTAAGTTTGATGTGATATTGGAAAATATTATTCAATTTTAAAACCTAACATGATTCATAAAATCCAAGGCACAATTTTTTTTTTTTTTTGCTCATGAAAAACAGACCCATGTGCAAGCTTGACACACTAAAGAGAAAAAGAATAATTGTTAGATTAGTATGTAAAGCACGAGCAACACAATGATGGGAGTTGGTTAAGCTACGTAAACTAAATAATTAAGATTGGTATTATCCAACTACAAGAATCAACGTGTCCCGACCGATCAAGATTATTTAAATAAGCTCGAAAGCAGGAAAGATAAATCTAAAACTTGGTCCTCGGCTAGCCAAAAGGGCAGTGAACTAGGAAAGATGTATTAATGGAATCGTAGACGGACGCTTGCTAGTGCTGTAAATAGTAGTAAGATGGAATTGAGAAATGATACAAAAGGCCGCCAGAGTATTAGATTTTGATGCGGGCAATGAGTAAACTCAAAGTTAACGGCAGGAGCGTGCCAATCAAGGCATAGAATTGAAGCATGATTGGATTCTTTTAATAAGGATGTGTTCCTTTATATGATTTAAAGGTGATCAAGAATTCCATTTTTTCTTTTGGCAGGAAACTTTGATGCCTTATGGACTTTTATTTATGGCTATGCTTTTTGGGAGAGACCACAGCAGCTCTCTCGTGGTGAGCTCTAGGAGAAAGTCCATATTCATCTCTTAAGATTTTGCTCGTGTGAGCTTTATAGCTTCCTAGCATTGGTTTTTCAGGTCACTCAAGAAAACCTGAATACTGGAAAGAGCCTGGTTTAGATCAGCAATTCTCCAGGTTTTTAGGATTGACCATGACCATTTCATAGTCCGTTTAAGAATGGTCAATGGTATAGGTATACTTTCCAATGAGATACCCAGGCCTAACATATGTCAGCTCTCTCCAAGCAATATCACTATATAGATTGCTTTGGATACATCGTGCAGTTTTGGCTATTATCAAAGCAAGGAATTAAGGGGGGAAAAGCATAAGAAATTATAGGTTTAGTCAAACAAAAAGATGAGAAATTAAATAGTTAAACAAATTTGATTTTCAATTTTCTTTGAAGAGAGGATCTTTGTCAAACTTTCAACCCCTGATTTAGGGCTAGATGATGGTCCCACCAGGAGACCAAGCACAGATTAAATTAGTTAGGATTTAACATGTGAAATGGAGAAATCGAGCAGCAGTTGCTGCCAAAGTCTCAATAAAACAACACTTATAATTGATGGATGTCTATCAAACAATTGTTTCCCACTTCATCGAGATCAAGAAATTAATCAACTCAATCAACATCATATTTTTCTTTTGATTGCAAATATACAAAGTCAATCAAACTAAAATTTTAAGGCCATCGATTTTTCCCATTATCCAAAATGATACAACATGCTGTTAGGTTCTATGAGAAGTTTTAACCCAAGTTATAGGTCAATTCCTCAAAGAATGTTTTCTTAGTTGATGTAATATTAATAACAATACTTATCTTTTTATAATTTATAATTTAAAACTAAATTTAGTGTCTATAATTTAAAAATTCAAAAAAATATCAACATTTGACTCATTAAATAATATATAATTTTTTTATCTAAAGAGTATGAATTTGAATCTCTATTCTATCTAAAAAAAATCACAAAGAGACTCAAACCATTTATCCTACCATTACTAATTAATTAAATTGACTATTATTTTGAATTATTCAATATTAAGGGTTGAATTTTCTGCATACTTTGAATATGTTTCTATGCTTTAATACTATAATATATATATATATATATATGTATAAACTATGCCGGAGTAGGTGGAAAATTTATTCAAGGTTAAATTTGTCTCACAAATTGTGAAAATCAAAGTGGAGTTTCAATATCTCAGTGTGTGTGACAAGTGTCACGAGTCCATTTCATTTAAGTTAATTATGATGAATTCTCTCCTATATTCGGATTCTGTGTACAGATAGAATATAAAAGAATATAAACCTGTAATGGAAACTTTTTCTTTCTCCCTTTTTTATTAATTATTTTTTATCAAATCACTCGGTTAAATAACGAAATTAATCTTAAATATTGTAAACTATTTAATAAAAATAAAATTTTTAAATATTAGAGACCAAATTAAATTCAAGTAGCACATGTATATTTAACTTGTTACGCAAATATAATGCTATTTGTAACCTCCTATAATCTCCTGAAATCGGTTGATTACTTATTGAATACTTTTTATCTTATTTAATATGATTGCAAAATCTTTAAATCAATATCATTACCTAAAAGATTTACAATTTAAAATATGATCTTATGCGTTATAATTAGATGTGCTTGTTGTCATTGCCAAAATACGAGGGACAAGCCTAGAATGCCCCCTAAGGCAACGATGAGTGGGTCAACGATCAAAGAAACTGGAGCTCAAAGACTAGAATTTCCAAACCCCCTTAACCATATGGGTGCTTAATTATTTAAAATACAGGGCCAGATTTTGGTAAGCTTAGAAGTACGGCAGCAACTCTAGGCCCCCTTTGATTAATGTTGAAATCTTTTTCGGTCCCCTGTCTCCTTCTGTGTAGAACATAGAGAGAAATATAGGAGAAAGCAAGGAAAGCCTTATTTGCTAGTTGTCCAGAACTTAAAAGAACAACATCAAGTGATCATAGACATGAGAGATTGGGGGACCAAAGTCCACTAGTAGAGGTGCAAGAGGCAACCACGTGGCTATAGCCTTAACCTATAATTCAGGCCTCTTCCTCTATCCTGCTAGGTCTTCGCTACTCGATCGTTATTGTCATAATAGATCTTAACTTGGTGCACATGAATGAGAACCTCAAAGTATGTGACCCCAATTTGTGGCTTTACAGATCCCATACCCCCATCTCTTTCACCCTGTTTCTGGTTAATCACAAGCATAAACATTAAACAAGAATGGATCCATAGGGCCGAATTTCTGCCTTACCTAGTTATACCTTTAAAATTTAAGTCACAAACCAAAACTCCGCACTAGTCCCACTAGACCATAAAGAAGAAAAAGATGCCTAATCTTGGTTTGCTACGACTTAACCACACATGGCCGAGGTAAGCTGGGCGAGGCTAGGCTATAGTTTTGGATTCACCCGGTACCTCGTCCATTGTTGACTTTTAGACTGGCCTTTTTTGGAAAGTTGAAGTTCTGTTCTCAATTAGCTAAGTTTGGCCATCAACATGCCCATGGACCCAAATTTTGGCAATTCCAATCACGCGAGAGCTTCCCTCAATGCTTAAGCTCAAGGCCATGCTGCCCAAACCCAAGCTTTTACAGGCCTCCTCTAGTCTTTCAAAAGAAGGAACTCACCCTGGGGCCATGGACTATGTTTTATAAATTACTGCTGCTACTTTTGTTAGTGCTACTATTTTGTATTCAATGGGCATTAATATCATTTAATACCGTAAAAGAGTTCTTTCTGTTTACCTTACTTTACCTACTTATGCATAAGCTTCATCTCTAAAAATCTGCTAGGTAGCCACAATCATATATGCAGGAGAGAAGTGCAACTAGCAGAAATCCAAACATATAACACTAATTTTGAAAGATTCAGATATAATGGTAGCAAGTCCTTTGTGCATATTTTCCACAATCAAGCGCTATAGCCTTGATTTGACGGATGCCACTGCCTTGTATCATGGCCGCTGCATGCAGCAACACAAGCTTGCTCCATTAAGGATTGGGAAACACCACTGTTGCAAAGGTTGGCGAATGCACGCATGTGTTTCATGCCGTATTGGGTTAGTAACCCACAGTGTGTTTCAAACAAGCGAACCTGGAATGAAAGGTTTGGTTATGAACAATGAAGAAAGCAGACTAATTCAAATTTGAGAGGAAAGTTAAGAGGAGAAGGGACTGATACCATGGATTTCAAGCACTGCCAGTCATCAACAAGGGGCAAACCAGGTTCCCTGACAGAGTTGAGAATGCCAGAACCTTTTGCTGGTCCATACAAGAGTGTTCCAATCAAGTCAATGCTGCCATCCAAGTGGATCCGATGCCTCATAGTCTCAGTAATCTGTCTGAGTATCTCTGTCTTCTTTGATCCATCTTCTGAATTTTTGTACTGTATAACAAACAACATCACCAACATGGATATCAAGTTCAATGAGATATTATTTTAAACAAATATACTACCTTTTGTAATTTAAACAAGGGACTGAAGTTATATTCCCCATTCAAAACCAAATTAATTATGTCAGTACTAGTGAAGAAAGTGTTTCCTCCTTTTATTTTCCCTTCTAAAAAGCTAGCCTTGTTAGGAAATGAGGGCTTCTGATTAGTCAGTTTAAGAATGCAAATCTCTTTTGAGTTTTGATGAAACCACAACGTCCAATTTCAAATTTCATAGAACGATTTATAAGAGATTTAGCAAAGCAAGACTTCACTTAGTTATACGGAGAAGTACAAAGATCCAATGCAATGTGCAATTCTATGGTTAGAGGCTGAGAAAAGAATATAGCCCAAGCTCACCATATGCCATAAAAAGAGAATATCTGCATCTCTCTGGTTAACAGCTTCCATGTGGGTCAATTCATTTGGAGGAAAGTTTACGGTAGAAGGATCAAAACCTTGATACAAACAAAGTTTTTCAGCTTTAATGGTTGTATTCCCGTATTCCATCACATGCGATCCGCCAAAAGTGTAAGAGTTGAAATTGGAAGTCCGTTCCCTTACCTGCATAATGAAAATTCAAGAATTTCGTACGTTTGTATTTTCCACTAAAGAGTTTCGCTGACCATAAGTGACAAAACAACTCCAAAATTTGCTGAAAATTTGTGGTGCTTACGGTTTCATACTGTTGCTTCACAGTTTCTCTCTTCAGATTGTGAGTTTCACTGCAGATCATAAGAGTATAAAAGAGCTAATGAGCACAATTCATTTGAGACACTAACTGAAATAAAAACATCTACTACTGGTAAGATTCTTATATCATAACTGGAAAAGTGCTTTTCCCAAAAAACTAGATAAGGGAAAAATAGTTGGAACTGTGACAAAAACACATTCAACTAGAAAATCCCATGAATGTAAAGATCAAACAGCTTGTTACTAATTGCCTTTATTGAAGCTGATTTGTGATCTAAAAAAAGTTCAAAGGAGAGTAACCACATACCTGTCCTCCATCCAAGCCACACTGTACAAATCTCCTAAACAAGTGGTATACTCTGTAGGTGGAGAAGGTTCCATCCCAGGACAATAAGTTCCCCAGCTACTCTCTTGCGCATTCGATGCTGTTGTTACATAAATATTAAGATCTTTGGGCATTATGCCTTCAAAGACACTCCCACTTTCACAAGATTCTACATATATAACCTGGTGGCATCAAAAATGCTATCTAAAAGATCATGGAATATGTCCAAGCGCAGAGCACGAGTAATTTTGGATTTAAGAAGATCTCGTACCATCTCTTTGTACCTTCCCGCTGCATGTTTCTTCTTCAAGACATCAAGAAAATCCATGGCATACAGAAATGGCAAATTTGGCATCCCTAGGATCAAATATCAAATCAATTAGACCTTTAAGGGTTTTTTGACTTATTTGGTGGGTATTTTTACATGCATCTTAAGTTTATGTTCTCAAGGACAAATATTAAACGGAGTTCAGAAACAGTTTAGGATTTTATATGATCAGCTGCCATGCTACTACTAGTTTCATACTGAAGGTTATTTTAATAGCATTATGCCAATCACAATTCTTGTATTTCAGCAAAGTTAGCAGTATCTTGCCTCTCTTTTTAAACTTTTCATGGCGATTAGGTCTTATTTGGTTGAAACAAGTGGCTAGGCGGAGTATATATAAATGATGCAGCACAAACAAAGTCTTTTAACATACCAAGAACTCCAGGGCCTCCATGGTCTGAGTAGAATAGAAATATTCTGTCATTGGGTTTGCTATCAACAACCTTTCCACTTCCTCCACTCAGAGCACTTTTATTACCAAGAAGTACTGCATACAGATTTGCGGCGGTAACATGCACACCCGTGTAATCCTAACATTATGATCCCATCAATACGGTCAGTATGGTTATATTGCAGTAAGTTCAAATGATCAAATTTACAAACTTGAGCTTATCTATTAAAGCTTCCCCACTAAGTTAGAACATGCCTCACAAGTAAAAAGGTGACAAAGCCTATTGATGATCAATGTATTTTGATCAGCCACCTAGTCGGAAACTTCTGGATTTCAGAAAGAGCTATTGTTCTGGATCTAATGAAGTATGAATCCTCAGATAAGATGGTTGAAAACATCCACGTGAATTCAGGATTATATAATAAATTCCAGGTTACTCAAGCAAAAGATCCATCCAAGTAGCTAATCATTACTCAAGATTAATTTGTAATCATTAATCATTTTATTTTCTTAGATTTAACCTGGGTAGAACTTTGAGAGAGAGGGGAAGGGAAAGAGTGAGGCAGGCAGCGGAGCCACAAACAAGCAGATGTATAAAACAGACGGAAATCACAAATCGACAAGCATTAAGGCATTTACAAGGCATTATTAGCGGGTTTTACAAGTAAATTTCATGTTCTTATGCTTATCCTTTGTCAGCTATTTTCCTTTGGAATTTTTTAACTAAAAGCAGGCTTAAACGTCAATTCTCTCTATCTGAAATGTCTGCTTCCCTTTGTTTTTTGGCAAAAGTTTACTGTTCCCGTCCAATTAAAGTAGCTTTTTTTATGCAACCACTTTGGGGAGGGTGACATTAGCTTGTTCATCCCTGTGTTAATAAATTTTATGTGGAAGTCCACAAATAAATGACACCCATTGTAATTAAATTAGGTCCTAGGATTACATCCATTAATCTAACCACTATATTTCAAAAGTAGCAATAATGACAAAAGGTCCACTCATTTTTATCACAATCAGAGTGGCCCATCACTATCAAATTGATGTCAGACGACATGAAAAGCAACCAACCAGCTCACAACACCACTAATCACGATTAGATTAATTTTATAAACTGAAACAGTTCGTTTATGCTACACAAATCAATGATCCCTGTATTTTACAGGTATATGCCACAGATATTTATCTCATTTTTTGCATAAATTATCTGCCTGTCCCTTCAGATTTTTTTTCTTATTTTATACTAGCTATTTCTGCCTGTAAACCTTAAATGCTTGAGTCATCTTAACTCAAGTAAACCTCAAATTTCTAGATCATTCCTAATCCAAGTAAAACCCTAGATGCTCAAGTCAGCCTTAGCAAATCAAGTGTACTAGATAATGAATCTAAGAGCTTAAAATTAAGTTTGCTACGATAGAGACTGAAGAGAATGCCCACATACCAAGATATTATCTAAACTGGCCCCTTTATTATTGTTGAGTGAAGGGATTGTTATTACCTTAGGCACGCCAGCATAAACATCATCGCCTTTGGGATTGTTGATGATGACTCCTGGCCTCGGATTCAGCTTATGCATGGCTATGTCATCGTACATAAACACCACTATGTTCTCTTCCTTCAATCCTCCTTTCCTTAACAGCTGATAGGCGTGGCATACATCTGCCTGTACTTGCATCCAAACAAGGTTTATGTCCCATTTAGACAAAACTAACCAGTGTTATTACACATTTAACATACAGTACCACTACGCCCACCACTAAGGGAAAAAAATAGTAAAGATTTGGAAAAACAAGTATATCTTTTTTCTAAGGAGAGAGAGAGAGAGAGAGATGAAGTGATAGGGGAAAGAATTCAAGAAAAAGAAGAGAATTTTTAATTCCTCATAGTGCAGATTTATTTTAAAAGATAAAATGAAAGCATGTAAGGCTGGTGCTTGATCCTTTTTCCGGTCCATAGAAAAGAATTCAAACCTTATTATAAGTTGATACTAATGCTTTACCTGATGCCTGTAATTATCATAGCCAGATGAACCAGCCACCAGAACAGCCCATCTTGTTCCAAGTTGCGGATCATCTTCATCTTGCGGTTCATCTTTCTCTGTAGGCAGTCGGATTCCAGACTCCCACTGATTCAACCGGGCGGCTCGTCCTGCTTCAAAAAGCAATAATAACACTAGAAGTAAAGATAGGTACTTGATGAAAACTGAATCTTGTTTTGCCATGTATATTAAAAGTAAATAGTGAACCCAGTTCAAGAAAGCCGTGAACAAGTACGAGGAGAAGGAAAAGAAAGGAAATGGAAACTGATGCTTGAAGGGAAAGCAGGGATGAAGTCTGGGAGAGAGTCTTAAAGTGAAGGTGGTAAAGAGGTGTGAGATGCCATGCAAAGGAAGAGGTTGACACGTGTGGAAATAGTTGCAGAACTGTGGGTCCAAAAATCTTCAGCTTGAAACAAATGGCCAGTTTTGTTTTGTTTTTTTCTTCTATGTTTGTGAAGATACGTTCTCTATTGTCTTCGGTCAGTAGTTGATTTTTCTTTTGGGCTTTACTTTCTTCTACTTCTTGTCAGGGGAAGGAGTGCAGTTTCCATGGGACTAATACTAAAAGGGGCAACAAGTTTAAACTTGGTTGGATATGACTCATGTTAAAAAGTATCCCCCAAATTCCGCAAGTAAAGTTTGGTCTGTTAAGATTTCTGTACCTGAGAAAAAGATTAGGCAGGCAAAAAGAGTATTGTACCAGTACTAAACTCTGATTAGATCAAAGCATATGCTGCCGGATACTTTGATATTCTTCTCCTGGAAAGGAGTTTTACGGGGCTAAAAAGTGGTAATTTAAGGGAAGCTGTTACACCTCTACGTATTACGTTATACAATTTGTCTTCCGTTGGATTAGAAATTCAGGGAGGATGTATGAAATGTGATGCTGGTCAAATAAGGCTATTGTTCAAGCCAAATAATATAAATGAATTCAATCTCGATCATCACAAAAGCTGGCGTAAGCTCAGTAGATTAGATCCTCTAGCGTTTTGAAATGTTTTTCCTTTAGTCCACTGTTTTCTGTTTGTTTAGGCTTCTATGAGTATCTGTTTGAATTAATTCTCTCTAAGTACGATTGGTCGGTTTGGACTTTTATTTGTTAGTCCGAAAAGTTTTTGGTCTTTCTTTACAATATTAGCCGAAAGAATAAATAGCCGCTTGTGGTCTTCCAATAAGCAGATCTTTTAAAATCTATTCTTCTCCTCTGATTGGAAGATTTCATCCCATTGCTTGAACAATTCTTCCGATGAAGATTAGCCTAACCATTGTCAAAGTCATTATCAATTATCAGCTAAGTATAATCCACTAATTATTCACTGTTGTTATGGGACATAAGGAGATATTGTGTAGAAGAAACAAATACAAGCTTTCTCGCACCGAAACATCTCGAAATGAAATCCTTGGAAGCAAAAGTTTTGCTAGTGGCAGACAAACCACAACTGCCTCTGTTCACTCACTTGGAAGACAAGTTAATCCTCCAACCTGTAAATTGCACACGCTAAGCCATCTATTATTCTCAAACTTCCTAATGATATCACGTAAGAGAGTTTTAGAATCATGCCATAATAAGTCAGAAAGGAGCACAAAGTTACCTTTTAACATGTTTCATGGGGACACCCAATCCCCTTATCGTGAAAGAACAAATACAACAAAGCTCTTGCTTCTGGTTCCCTTTGCCACCTGCTGATGAGTTATCCACGCAACAGATACGGTAAAGACAACTTTCAATATTTGCCCCGCCATGAATACCACTTCAATTTCAATTGGAATAACAGTGGAGGTCTACCCAGAATCCCTCTTGCTAACCTTGAATCAAACACATCAAACTGTACACGACTGAGGGAATCCAACAGAACTTGGGCGGGCACAGCTGGTAGAAGTGCTTTACGAGCCTCAGAGGGGACAGCATCTGCTAATTCACGAGCTTTCAGCAAATGTGCATTGGCTGCTGATGCAATTTCAAAAACTGCTTCACATAAGCCCTCACGGGAATCCAAGTGGATCTCTGATCGACCTCCCTCCTTAACTAGCAGCCCATGCTTGGCAGCCACTTTAGCTGGTATGTAAGAAAAGTGACGGTTGCGGCTAGCATGGTATGGCAGTGACTTAAGTAGCAAAAGAAGGCCACTTGCCTTACCAACATGCGATGCTGCATGGTCAACTGCAGTAGACCTGATACCACCAGCTTGAAGAGTCATGTATAGAAGAGTTGATGCAGTATTCTCTGCGTATTTCTCTAAGTCCTCAATACTCTCTGGTAGGTCAGTAACCTCTCTACTTGCATCATTGATCCGAGCTTCAACTAACCGTTTTAACCAAGCCTTGCTAATTTTACTTTCAGTTATCACTGAGGAGAGGGCCTGTGCTGTTGGGTGCTCAATCAATTTGTTAGCATAAATTTTATCAATGGCTTCTTGCCACCAAACAAGGCGCATAAGACCAATCTTGGGATCAGAAGCAACATCCATAGCTCTGGCGGTTTCAACATTGAAGGCGCGGAGTGCAAATGCAGCCTTTCTCATGCTAGGGGGAAGCTCAAGAAGGCAGAGGTAATGATGGTAATCATAGCTACGGACTTGCTGTACACAGTAGGAGAAAGCTGCCCGTAAGCTACTAGAAACACCGTTCATCAAATCCCTACTGTGGTTCCCCTACAATGCATTACTACATTAATGGAAAAACCAAATAATGCTTCCAAGACAATTTCTGTAACTCCGTTGTCAACGAGTATTTTCAATAGATAAAGCAAGCTGATGACAAATAGAGAAAGAAGATCCCAAATATTTAGTTCAGATATCTATCAAGAAGTGACCACTTTCTAAGCCCAATTTCTCATTTGTCCCATAAATGCAATGATGTTAACTACTAGGTTCATAAAATTAAACTTAAAAAAGAAAAGATGAAAAGCAGCGACAGATCACAAGCTACATAAGAATAGGTAAAAGCACCTTAATGCAGGCAATATATGGAAGGTTACCTATCCAGGTAAAAGATATTGCAGTTGACTGTAAGCACTGACACAAGGTGAGGTTATTCAATTAATAAACAAATCCATTAATAGATGGATTGGGGTGGGAACTTTCTCCAGCTTAAAAGCAACATTGACTGTAAGCCATTTGCATCCACAAACTTATTCCAACCTTCAAAATGAAGAAGGAATCAGAGAAAATGGGATTTCTGAATCGTAAACAAACTTACGCATTTAACTTTTAGCTAATGCACAGAACAAAGCAAGTATCATAGGAACAGAGTACATCGAGAACTGATAATTCTTAGTGTTTGAGACATTTCATCGAACATGCTCAATGCATTAAAAAAAAGGCACATCCAGATTCCCGATGACACAAACTGAATTCCCGATTTCATCCCTCGCAAGAAATTAAAAGAGGAAAGACATGGGGTTAACCGGAAAGCATACCGAGAGTGATATAAGCGTTTCGAATGGAACTAGAGAGCCAGAGAAAGAGAGAGGCGAGCAAGCAATTTTTCGTGCAGAAGCCACACCAACAACAGAAACAGCAGACTTTAGGGGGTATGCGTTTTCCTCGATGAAACGCCGCCGTTGGAGGGACGATGATTAAAGCCAATTAATTGGAACCTTTACGATAGTTTTTTTATCAGCCTCCTTTCTCAATTCGTTTAAAGTTTTAAACGCCTGATACCCCACAAGTGTCAATAAAAAATAAACTACGAGTACAATTAGTTAGTTCTTCGGATTTCATTATTCCTCAGCCCATTACGTTGAAATGCATGTTACTTACTAATTGCTATTCACTTTAAATGCAAATTTTCGTAAAGTAAATGTGAAAAAAAAAACCACTAGGAAACAATAAGGCAAACAAGTGTCATTAAAGTTAATTTCTGGATGCCCACGCACATAAAATGAAAGACCAGACAGAACAGCAGTGATACTCCTCTGTGCTGAAGAAATTGATCAGTCCCCTGGTCACGGTTGATGATCTGCCAGACAGTAGGGGAGAGGCCTTTTAACAACCGAAGCAAGAGCATCCAGTGAAGCATAGAAGGAACACAGAGTCTTATGAAAAGAGGTTCACAGCCGAGCTAACAACCAAACTTTAGAAAATTTCCAACTGAAATTAATAGTTTTTACAAATTAGACCATTCAAATTCACCCTGCAAAAGTACAAATTTACTGAACGGGTAAAACAAATAAGGGAAAACTTTCCCTCACATTTATCTGATCTGGACAATGCCAGCGCTGACCAGCTTTTGAATCTTGTTCATTACCAGCGGATTCTTCATGTGCTCCTGTGCCGCCTTTGGATTTTCCTGGAAATCAATCAACACCTGCCCACATCCCACTGTTTTAGTAAACCATATAAACAACAAAGAATCCAAATAAGATCACATTACAAGTACTGCAACACTGAACCAATATTTTTTCAGTTCTTACCTGTCTCATGACAGGATCTGAGAGAATGTTTTGAATTTCCGGATCTTGCATTGCCTTCGCCTGCAACATTACACCAATTAAAATTTAAATCAGCATCCTACACGGATTTTAGAGCCCAAATGTAAACAAAGACATGAAAGAAATCCTCACCTGTCTTTCCTTCAACTCTTCAGGGCTCAAATCACCACGGTTTGCTTTGTTAATCTGTTGTACACATCTGCAAAATAATTGAGAGAAACAATTAATTATAAGATACTGCTGAAACAGGTGCACAATACCAAAAAATCTAAAGCAGAAAGCTACACACTTTCTAGCACCATCAAGCAATTCCTGGTTATTAGGGTCATGTTTCAACCCTTCCTGGTATGTATCCAAAGCTTTTTCATACTCCTTCATGAAGAACTGAACAGCACCCTTTCTTGTGTAACCCTTGGAAAATGTTGGATCAAGCTCAATGCACTTCTCAGCATCCTTCAATCCCTCTGGCAAGGCACCCAATTTTGTGTAGCATGCAGCTCTATTGCTGTATGCCTGACAAGGCCAAAATATTTTAACAGTCAATAAGTTACTAGTATTTGTGCCTTGGTCAACCACAAACTCATAAAACAGACCAAGACTTTCTTACCTTTGGATCATTGGGATTTCTTCTTAACGACTCTGTATAATGCTTCACAGCCTCTGGGTACTTCTGCTGCTTGAAACATTCATTCCCTGCATATATACTTGTCCAGTCAGTAAATGAACATGATAGGGGACTACTATTTTTGCTCATTCCAACACAATTATAATACATGGACTCAGACCAAACTCAAATAAACAGGAGAGCAACATGCAGAGCAACCTAGGAAATATCAGTGACTAGATACATCATAACATAGTAAAGAAACTTAAAGTACATGACGGGTGGCGGTAAAAACTAAACAGAAACGAATAAAGAATACCTTTTTCACGCTCCTCATCAGCCATCTTTGGATCAAAATACTCTTGTTGCTCTAAATCCTTCTTTTCTTTTTCTGCATCATTTAGTTTCTTCAACGTTTCCGGGTTGCGATGCTCTGTAAGAGCTTTCTGGAAAGTCTCAATAGCTGGTTCATAGTCTTGTGAGCATTTCGCCATTTTCACCAAAGCAGTTCCCTTCCTAGTCAAAGCTCTTGCTATCATCTTAAAGTCTGATCTAAGCTCTCTACCTCTTTCAACAGCCTTGTCACAATCTTTAATGCAGTCCTCATACTGCAGTTAAAAAGGATAGTAGGCAAAGAAAAGCACAGTGCCGTTAGATATACATAAAATCCATTGGAAACTATAACCCCTATAGTAGACTCTTTTCCAAGCACAGATATACTAAATCACATGATGTTGACCAAAGAATTATCTCTCCTATTAGGTCCAGTGGAAAAAGGGGGAGCCAGAATATACTTGGCATAATGAGTTCACAACTATCCACACCCAAAAATATCAACCTAACATAAATGTTATTGGTAGGAAAGATAAAGAGGTTAGGAAAAATCAACTAAATAATTCCATTTCCTTTGGAGGAAATAACTAGGCCTTTCCCTACAATCCTCCCGCTGCCATCTTTTCAGGAAGAAAGCAATATGTGTTTGTGTTGTAAATAAGCTTATAAAATCAACATAATTAAGCAAATGACATACATTCTAAACGATTAGTAAGGCCTCATAGAACACTCACAGTCATCCCATCATACTCCGCCATCATGCCAACATGACATTCACAGATATAATTTCATAAGCAGGGCTCCATCAAGGAACTATTATTAGAAAGATTCTAAAAAACAGGGCTCCATCTTAAAGCAAAAGTGACCTGACATTCAAAATCATTCTAAAAAAATTGTAGTCATTATTATTTTATACAAACATGAAATTAGCATCAGTACACCTAAATTTCGAGTTCAACTAAAAAGCAAACATAAAAATATAAAATCAGCCAACAATTTCATCTTTTCATATGCTATAAATTTCATACCAATAACTAAATTGAAACAAGTAAAATTTCTTACTTATAAACAAATTCAAATGACTAAACATACCTTGCCCATCTCCAAATAAACAGCAGCTCGATTGGTGAGGTACGAAATATCCTCGTCATCAAGCTCCAATGCTTTCGTGTAATGCTGAATAGCCGTCTCGAAGTCCTTCTTCTTATATGCAGCATTTCCAGCCTCCTTCTCCTTTAAAGCTTTCTCCTTCTTCTCCTTGTTCTCCTTCTCCTCTTCTGTAATTTCCATCGGTTCTGGTTCCGGCTCAGGCTCTGGCTTCCGCACCTCCTCCTTAGCCGGCTGTGAAGGCGGTGGAGGAGGTGGTGAATCCGCCTCTGGAATTTCCATGTCATCCCCAGCACCATGCGCCTTAAACTTAACATTTAACAAAACCCCCAAAGCTTGCATAACTCTCTGATCTTTTAAATACTCGTTCAATTTGCTAGGATTTCTCTGAATCTCCTGCATCGCCTTAACAAAATCCGGCTGCTGTAAATAAACCCTGGTCGTCGGATCCGCCGTCAACTTCGCCCACATCTCCGGGCCCTGAAAAGCATCACCAAACGGGCTAGGTGGCGGCGCTGCCCTAGCTCGGGAAGCCGAAGCCGTCGCCGTCGCCGCCGCTTGAGCATCAGCCAAGCCGGATTTTAAGGCTTCATTATTAGGATCGATCTCGAGACCCTTTTTATAGGCTGAAACAGCATCTTGGTATTGGTGTAAACCTAAGTGAGCCGCACCAAGCCGGCTGTAACCTTTCGACCAGTCCGGTTTAAGGTCCACAGTTTTTTTGGCGTCGGATAATGCGGCATCGTATTGATGAAGAGAAGCGTAAGCGGCGGATCGGTTAGAGTAAAGGACGTGGTTGGTCGGCGCAAGGTTTACAGCTTCGGTGAAGTGTTTGATTGCAGTGTTGAAATCGCCGGAAGAAAAGGCGGCGTTGCCTTTAGCTTTGGCTTCGTCGGCCATAGGATAGGTATTTGTACGCTTCTATTTGTTTGGAGGGACGATTTGGATTTCGGGGGTTTTGGGTATTTTGGAGTGAAGGAAAGTATTAGAGCAAGGGATATAAAGGAAGTTCACTTAAGAGGAGCAGACCAGCGACTTCTGGTGCTTCTGGAAGCTTCTTCGGCATTTGTGTAGGCTGCGTGGATTATGGGTTGTTTGGTCATAGATTTATCCTTTTCTCCAATTACCTAACAGAGTGTTTGGGCGTATTATAAGAAGACTCGATTGCTTTGGGTTGACGCCTTTGGGCATTTTGTCTTTTTTTTTAATTCAATGATTTTGTCCCTGTTTAACTCTACATCCTTGACAAAAGTGAAAATCTATATCAAATTTTCGCAAAATTTTACACTGAATAGATTAATTAGAACCTTTAAGTTCATGGAACAGAACCAGATAATTCCTTCCTATGCAAATTCTGATTTATAGAGCATTCACAATATTGAAGAGAAGAGCCAAGAGCAGAGTGCTTGTGCTTCAGAATGCTGTTGCAATTTTATATCTCAAACTAAGACATGAATATTAGAATTTATAAAAAAAAAAAGGGAAAAGAAGGGTAATGTTGCGCTTTTTAAATCATGGAGTGAACAAAAATATAGTGTTCCTGGTCGTTGGGACGACAGGAAAACCAAATCAAGCGGCAACTTCTTGCTCTTTTGAGGCAAGCTCGTTCTGGATGTGTTGAGGGACAACGTCAAACTTGGCTAATTGCATGGTGTAGGATGCACGACCTTTTGTCATTCCCCGCAGAGTGCTAACATACTGGAACATCTCCGCAAGCGGAACAAGGGCATCAACCACCTGCAGTTATCCAACAGCAAGCCGTGAACAATAAGATTAAAAGAAAAGTTATTTACTATCCTTAATCCAAAAACAATGCCAGAGGAAACTTCCATTTGGAAAATCCAAGAGAACACTACAGTGCGTACTTCAATTAACAAGCAGTTTGTGTTCAGTGTTCTCATCGATAGTACTTGCAAAGTAGTCAAGTGGATCTTTCCTAAGAATGGTCAGATCACACAAAGGAACAATTCTTACTCCTATTTTCCCTTTTTTTTTTCTATTGGCAACATATATGCACATCATGACTATAGAACAATTATATTTTCATTTTAATACAAAGTTTGAATGGTTTAGATACGAAAATGGGCTGGTGCCGACAAATTTGAAAGCTACAAGTTAACAAGAAAGAACTTGGTAATTTGGCATACCTTGAGCCCACCGGGTTTATCACCAAAGCTGTTAATCTGGCCTCTCCTTGAGTTGAGATCACCAATCACATCACCCAAGTGCTCTTCAGGTGTGACAACCTCAACTTTCATTATAGGTTCAAGCATCCTAGGGCCAGCCTTCCTAATCCCCTGTCTGAAAGCTCCTCTGGCTGCCAGCTGAAATGCCAAGACACTTGAATCAACATCGTGGTAAGAACCATCTACCAGCACGGCACGTACATCGACAACAGGAAAGCCAGCAAGTACACCATTATTCATACACTCCTCCAGTCCCTTCATAACTCCAGGAATATATTCTTTTGGCACTGCTCCTCCCTTGATTTCACTCTTGAACTCATATCCACTACCCGCCTCCATGGGCTCAAAACGTACAGTAATATCAGCAAACTGCCCTTGTCCACCTGACTGTTTCTTATGCACATACTTTACTTCTGAAACTTTCGAAATGCTTTCACGGTAATTTACTTGGGGTGCACCAACATTAGCTTCTACCTACAGACACCAAGAAACCAAATTTATGTCAATTAGTTTACTTTAACTGAATACCTAGGTAAAATGATTGGGGGAAGAAGATGAGCTGATTCTACTTAGGACAACTTCATCACGCACAGACACTCTCCGCCACATACAGAGACAAGATAATGAGAATAAATCCAATTGTGCAAACAGTATTCTCCAAACAAATCAGAGGGATACCATGCATGCATATTTACTTAACATTTATGCATCAGTACAGTTATTAAATGCACACACAGCTGAGCTGAATGATCAAGAGCATTAATCTGTTTCACAATTAGATGTTAATACAAACCTTGAACTCTCTCTTCAAACGATCAACAATAATCTCTAGATGCAGTTCTCCCATTCCTTCAATTACAGTCTGGTTTATCTCTTCATCTCGTGAGAAGTGGAAAGAAGGATCTTCTTGGGCAAGCTTGATCAAACCGGTAGCCATTTTATCAACGTCAGCTTTAGTCTTGGGTTCAATAGCAACCTTAATCACAGGATCAGGGAAGTCCATCCGTTCAAGGACAATGGGATGGTCAGGATCACAAAGAGTTTCACCTGTAATGGTATCTTTTAGACCTGCAAGAGCAACAATATCACCAGCCATTGCGACCTTAACATCCTCTCTACTGTTGGCATGCATTTCCAAAAGTCTACCAATTCTCTCTTTCTTTCCTTTGTTTGCATTCAACACATAAGATCCTGCAGAAAGCTTCCCTGCATACACCCTGACAAATGTAAGGGACCCCACAAATGGATCAGTCATGATCTTGAAAGCTAGTCCAGAAAATGGTTCATCATCACTTGCTTTCCTTTCAATTGTCACTTCAGGGTTCTCAGGATCAGTTCCCTTCATTGCTGGCAAGTCAAGAGGTGAAGGCAAGTAATCCATAACAGCATCAAGCAATGGCTGAACCCCCTTGTTTTTGAAAGCTGAGCCACATAAAACTGGAACAAAACTGCTTCCAATGGTGCCTTTCCTAATTAATTTCTTAATGGTTTCCTCATCAGGTTCAACACCTTCAAGATAGTTCTCCATAGCTTGATCATCTAATTCAACTAAAGTTTCTATCATCTGTGACCGGTACTCTTCAGCCAACTCCTGAAGATCAGCTGGAATATCATCATACACAAACTTTGCACCCAATTCTTCCCCTGACCAAAGCACAGCTTGCATCTTTACAAGGTCAACCACTCCTTGAAACTTGTCTTCTGCACCTACTGGTAGTTGAATCACAAGCGGTTTAGCACCCAAATTTGTTACTATCATGTCTCTTGTCCGGAAAAAGTTTGCTCCTAGACGATCCATCTTATTGACAAAGCAAATTCTGGGTACTCCATACTTATCAGCTTGCCTCCACACAGTTTCAGATTGTGGTTCAACACCAGCAACACTGTCAAACAAGCATATAGCTCCATCTAAAACCCTGAGAGCTCGTTCCACTTCAAGTGTGAAGTCAACATGGCCAGGGGTATCAATAATATTAATTCGGTGGTTTTTCCAAAATGTCGTTGTAGCAGCTGACGTTATTGTAATACCTCTTTCCTGCTCTTGCTCCATCCAGTCCATTGTAGCAGTACCCTCATGAACCTCACCAATTTTATAGTTTCTTCCTGTGTAGTATAGAATACGCTCAGTTGTTGTTGTCTTTCCTGCATCTATGTGAGCCATAATTCCAATATTACGATAATCTTTCAATGGCACTGCACGCTTTGTCTCTGCAAAGCAACAAAAAAGATATTCATCTGAGTGTTAGCAAAGTAGCAAGAAATTTGTCCTGACATATGGAGCCTACTGTTCTCTTTTGATTGTCTCTTAGAACTTAGGAGGTTCCTAGGGGAGAATGCGCTTGACCTTAAAATAAAAATCCAGAGCATTTGCTTATGCTACTTAAATGAAAAATTATCAGCCATTTCATTGATGTGCCTGGGCATTTGAAAAAAGTAAATAATCTACATTGATATACTTTTGTCACCATATATTTTGGTTGAAGCTAAAACTTGGAAGTATTATGAATTTTTCCATTGAAAAAGAAGAACCGTTATCTTCATTAATGCTACCCAAAACCAACATTTTGATTAAGTGACCACATTATTTTATGTTAAGTATGAATAATATCAGTTAGGGACAATTAAAATTTTGAAAATGCAACTCTCTCTGAGTGTCAGATGAACCGGAAATTAGCCTACACCAGCAACTATACCAAAAATCCAAATCTCCAATTGCCAAAGAATGAGAGAACAAAACTAAAGCTGAAAGAAACGTAAACCCAGGTGTAAAATATTCAAAACATAACAATCCCAATTACGAGAACAACAAATTACTGCATAAAATGAACAATTTCAACCACATAACTTATATATACTACAGAAAACAAGAAAAAAAGAGAGAGCAAGAAACAGAGAAATAAAGGATATTTACCTTCAGCGGCCATAGCGAAGACAGAGAAGTCCCTTCTCTTGCCCTGTTGGTGACGTGAAATAGGAAGTCTTGAGCCAATTCGGACACTTCCCAAGAAATGAGAGAGAGAAGAGGAAATTGAGGAAGAAGCTCGAGGAGGCAGACCCAGAAAACGAGTTGGAGAAGATAGAGGAGCTGGTCTCCTTTGAGACCCATTTAGATTGCAAACTGTAAAACTCGAACCCGTTATTCTTAGCGCTGTCTCTGCTGCCATTTTTCTTCTTTTACAACTTCTCAGTTCTCACTCTGCTTCTCTCTGTTTCCTCTTCTTCTTTACTTCTACCGGCTATATGGCTTTGGGCCGGTGTTTTCCATTGTGTGTGGTTAGGGATAACGATAACTAAGAGGTTCTCATGAGTTTTAGCTTTGATTGGGCTTTTCTTTCGGCTACCTCTGTTTTGGTCATTTTCCTTCGAACTGCTCTTTTATTTCTTCTTTCGTCTTTTGCAATAATTTCTTTTTCATTTTTTTTGTTTATGGACCAAAAAATTAGAGAAAATTACATGTCTTAATAAGTTTGCCATCAAGCATGACTATCCAAAACGCCTACTCTATACTGTATTTAATAATTCATTATATAATTTATTTGTTTTGGTAGATAGGTAATGATATATTATAAAAGAAAAAAAATCATTCAACCTCTCTAAGGAATTGCTTAATCATGTCTTCTAAAATTTTAACTTTTAATTTATGAACCATAATAGAATTCCAATCATTATGTTTGTGGAAAAATATGTACAATTTGCCTTATTACAAAAAACAAAGACATCAAATTCAAAAATTTCATAAAAATTTACATTTCATATGCTACCATCATGAAAAATTATAGACATGTTTCTCATTGAAAATATGGGCACGAGGGATAAAGTCTTAGGTTTGGATGGTAGCTAAAATGTAAAAGGAAAGAGGATTTTCAATAGCACTTAAAGATTAAAGTTGAATTTATAAATTAAAAATTAAATTTTAGTATGAACATTTGATTTAATAATAAATATATAATTTACTAAAAAAATTTAAATTCAAATCTCACATTCTGTTGATTTAAAAAAAAAACAAATTCTTTATGTTAAACATTGATAAACAACATTAATTCCTTATGATCTCAAATTTTTGGGCATTGGAGCTCTATGCAAATGGACCAAGGCAGCTTGAAATGTCAAAATCTCCTAAATGGAAATACCTTTCCCATCCAAAATAATAACAGAGAAGGCAGTTGTGTAAAAAATATGAGTTATTGGGGGCAAAAGTGGCCAAAACTCGAAATATAAAACGACGTCCAGTTTGCAATTCTAAGGTTGAAAAACCACGGCCGTGAAGGTGCCACGTGAGTTAGAAATTATACATCCGCATATACTGGGTGGTGGGATACGGTTTCCCGGGTGGCCTACTCCAAGCCAATCCAACTGTTTGAAGTTTGGATCATCCACACGTGTTCACTAATTGGCACGATTCAACACTCTTTTTACCCCTTTTTGTCCTTTTCCTTTGTCAATATTAAAGGAAAATTTTTGGGTTCCGTTCCTAGTTTTTACGGGCTGGGCTCTTCCGGGTCTTCTAAACATATCAATTGCTTAAAAGCAAGAAAATAGAGACATAATTTTAAAACACAAAACATTATGCAAATAAATATTAGAAAGGAACACTCTAAGCCTCAAGTATATGAATATCTAATACTGTAATGCATATCTGATAATACAAAAACTATATCTTACTTTAGAAGTTAATATGATACGAATAAAGAATTAAATTGCTCCATCATATATCTATTTGAAGTATCGACGAAATTAAAAAAATAACTATCATCATGTCATTTTTTTATTTTTTCATTATTATATATAAAATATTATATATATAATATAATTATTTTTTAATCATTTTTATATAAAAAAATTAAATTCAGTGTTAATTCGATGACGTTGCTGAACTTGGCAATAAGACCTTCACTTTTGCTTGACGTTACAAACAATCCTTCTCATAGGTTCAGACGATTTGTTCGGGTTTGCAGTACCCAAACAAAGGGTCCAAACCTTAAAGGCCTAACTAGCATCGAGGCCCATTTAATCGTTCTCCCTTCTCGCTTTTAAGTTTTGGGATGGAAATTAAGATTAAACTTGTACCTATTTTATGATTAATGTCGAGTTTTGATATTATATTTTAATTTTGTTAAAATTTAATATTATATTTTTTATTTTATTGATTTTTGAATAAAAAACAACAAATTAATAGAAATTAAGCATTTGCAAATTCAATATGAAGTTATAATATAATGATAAATTGAGATTAATTCTCCAAGCTTTTTAATTAGAAATTATAATGAATTAAGATTGTCATTTATGGGAAGATCATCTGGACCGGCCAGTTAGAGAAAATTTTATTACTACTTATTTAGTAGACATTTTATTGATTTCATATTTTTTAAATAAACAGCAAGAGAATGAGGATTCGAATCGTATTTTTTAGATAAAAAATCATGCATTAATCAATGAGTCAAATATTCGAGTATAATCACTCTCTTAAGTTCAATATACAGCAATTTATATGTTTTTATTTTAATTGCAAGGTTTATCATTGCCAATAAATTAAGATAGTAAAAAATAGTGCTTTAGGGAGCAAATCCGAGCTACTAATCATCTTATCAAAATATTTTCATGTAAGATAGGAGGAATATACATATATATTTCTAATATACTATTACTGATCTTAAAAATATATTTTTTCTATAATTATAATGAAATATACTATACTTTGTTATGATAAGTAACAATGTTTCTTTTTTGTATATGAAATGGCTATAAAAATGGAATCCATGCTTATTTTTTGTGATTTCCTATATGTTAAATCTATTCGAAATCCTTCTTGCATTCGGTGTAATTATCCACAATTATTGGAATGAATTAATAAAAGTCTAAAACTGACTTACGGTAAGGATTGGTTTTTTCTTCCAAGGAAATTGCACTATTACTCACATATATCGTAAGGCCAACCGAGGAGCCAATTGGATGGCTGCAAACTTTGAAGACTTAGAGATAGGTTTACACATCTTTAATGTTCCACCTCAAAATATTTCCTCTATTTTATTAGCAGATAACCTAGGCTTACCATGAACTAGAATGGCGCAAGTTAATGTTTGATTAATTGAATTTTCCTTTTTACAAAAGTAAAAAGGACTTCGTATGATAACAGCCCAAGTAGTCCAGCGCACTGCGAAATTAGCCGTAGTAGTTTGTTTTTTCTCCACGAAAATTAGTGGTTGATATTTAGTCCAGGCTACATGCGATCAATATCAGCCAGGTTTTCCTTTCATGGGTCCCCGTCAAAATTCAGCCAGCCTTTCATTTCATGGGTCCCCGGCAAAATGCATATAGAACATCTACACTAGTGTAAAGTTGATCACGGGTTCTGTATGGCAGCTGCATAGCTGTTGACAAGAGCCAAGGCATTGCTTGTCATATGTGCAACTTTAACAATTTGGCTCCTCACAGAGGTTTTAACATTCCCATTCATGGCTTTACCAGAGAAGCCATCCATGCAGGTATGCTCATCAGTCAAAGCTGCGCTCACCCATGTTTCTATATCATTCATTTGGAGACCAAAATTTTTGCCTCCAGGCTGATCCATTTCACCAACTGACCTTTGGAGCTCGTATACCGAGTCCCTTAGTTCTTCCATGCAATCGCTCAGGGCTTCAGCCTCTCTAGGCTTCATGCCCTGGCTTTTGGATCGTTTTATCATCGTTTTTGAAGCGGAACGAGTGGAATTAAGTGTCACGGAGAGGGCCGTACTGGCTAATAACTTGGGACTGGCTTGGATTTCGCTTGCATAGCTAGAGAGGGTCGTGATACACAAGTCAGGATAGACTGTGCCACTGCAAGAGGTTTTGATGAATTGGGTGTTGGCTTCCTTACGAAGATTTGTTCGAGCTGCTAGGCATGAGTTCAGATGAATTGTTAACTGAAAGAGGGCGGCAAGAACAGTTATTGAACCGTACAAACTTGCCATACCTTTCTCTCCTTTTACCTCCCTTTCTCTCGGTAGAAGTAGTCAAGTAGAAGGCTGGAAATTGGATGCGCCTTTGGGGGGAAAACAGGTTATGTCAATTTATAGAAAAGGTGGTATGCCACATGCAGAGCTTGGAAATAAGAAAAGGAAATTAACCAATGAGGCCAAATGTCCAATAATTTAATGTCAAATCAAGGTTGAGAATAGTAACATAAGTTTTCACCAAAATCCTAATCCTATGAAAGCAATGGTTCACTTGAACTTAGGACCTATTAATTGGATAAATAGATTATAATTGTCTACAATATGCTTCACACTATCCCCTACGTCCTCACATAAAAAGTACTAGTATTACATCGACTTGAAGATATATAATAATCTTTCTAATTAAGAATCATATACAAAATTTAGGTCTAAGTAGCTACTGGCTATTGAAGCAAAGTTAATACATTGCTTGACTTAAACAAATATAGCGTAGAATTGATATAAAAGGAGAGTTACTAATTAACCGTCCATCCTTAACTCCAAAATTGATATCATGTGATTATTGATTGGTTAAATTAGTTGGATTAAATTGAAAGAAGCAATGGAGGGTCCCTAATCCTTGAATTATCAGATGGATAAGCACCACTCAATTCTCATTACTAAAAAGGAAGTGAAAAGACAGTGCGGCTTGAAAGATGCTACTTTGCTTGTTTCGTTTATGTCACTTTCCAATTTTTATTTTTTTTGAAAAGCATTTCACTTTCGAATATTATTCACCAATTAGAACAACAATACTGTTAGGGTGTCCCTCTCAAACAGTTCAGTTTCCATGATCTGCCCGTCGTTAATTTCCTTTTAATTTGGTAATACGTTAAATTGCATTGAGATTATTTTTTACCTTTCTTTATTTGTGAATTTATTCCTTCACGTGACATAACTTTTTTGATCATTGGAATTTTGAAAGAATTAATTTGAGGAAATTAAACAGTTAGAAAAAGAAGTTCTGTAAAGCAATAAAGCATTATTTTCTCTTTTTTTTTGGTGAAAATTAATTTCTTGGCTGGGGTATATAATAAAAGGTCCAAAAATCAGTCAAATTAGAAAAAGAAGGGCTGCCAAGCTCTGATTCTTAGATGACTGAGACAGCGGATGGAGTATGAACCACAAACAGTTAAGCAGTTAAGAAGAAAAATCGGAAATCAACCTCTTAAAAATTTTTCAAGATTCAATCATGTATGGAATATTATATGGAAGACACACATGGAATATGGTGTCTGAGTGGGATGTCTTAAATAATGGAGTCTGTACGGCCTTTTTTCCATTAATTTAAATTTTTACCGTTAGACTAGAAGATCCTGGGATTCAAACCTAGAATGTGTTTAATTACAGCTCATATGATTTAGTGTACATTAATTGCCCCAAATTTAATTGGATTAGCTGTCAATTGGACGCGTGGCGCTTTAACAAGTGGACTTAACACTAAGAAATTTACAAAAGAAACCCATCAGTTGATGACTTGACGCTGACAAATTTCCCAAGTTGGAAGTTGGTTTTTTAAATAATCCCGCCAGACAATTTAAGGATTGATGATCCTCTTTTTATTTTTTGTTCTTTCTGGAAAAAGAAATGTGCTGGAAGTGTTTAGGTCAAGTTCGAATAACCCAAAGGAATTCAATCATTGAAAATTAAAGTTTGAAGTAGTAAGGACTTAACAACTGGTAAACACTGATGAAGATTAAAACCTTTATAAGCCAAATAAATCCTCTGTTTCGCTGATATTGAAAGAATGTGGCCTAGATTAAACACCAAAGTTTCATAATACCTAGTGGGGGTGATCTTCTAAGACGTACACGACTCTTGATCTCTTCTCTCCCCCTCGTGTTGTATGTTCCATGTTTGTCAATTTATCAAGAAAAAGACACAGCTGATTACCCTTCGCTCCCTAGCTGACAAAAAGGCACAGTTTCGCCGGGAGGCAGGTCGTTTTGGGCCTTCTTCTTGTGATAAGTAGGACCAATGGAAACAAGGTTGAGCATGAATCTCCAGTTCGATTACTGGAAGAATTTGTTACAATCAACTTCGGCTTGCACATGATTTTTTTCCCAGTTGTCTTGATCAGCTGGGAGCACGTGTTTGCATGAAAAGGGAAAAGTGCTAAAATTTTCCGGACAGACTAGATGGTATGAAACTCATCATGACAAAGCATTACAACAATGAACTCCGGCCTTGTATTTGGCGTGTACTTTCATTGTTATCTAAGCTTATCAATATCCACAGACAATTTTTGTGTTCATCTAACCAATGCAGAAGCTAAACAACTGGCAATAGTTGCGACAAAGAGTACTACAAGTCCTGAAAATACTATAGCAATGAAACAAGCACAAAGTTGGCAGTTTCTTTAAGCTAAAATAAAGCAAATAAAACCTTAATTAGCATTAAGCATTTAAGCATTAATAGCCAGAGTGTGACAGCTATCACAAGTACTCAAAACAAAGTATTTGACAGCAAAATACGAGAGAACCGTACACTAATTCAGTGTCAAACCAGCTGTCAATGTGAGTCACCATGTTTTAAGCTAGAAACATTGGAAGAAGGTAAACAGGCAAGGGCATAATCTAAGCAGTGTCATTTTCCTTTGTCCATATATTGTTTGCATAACATAGAATATATTTATTGATGCAAGACTGTAGTTACACCGTTTGCATTTTGACAGCTAAATAACCTTAAATAAATGTACAAACTTGCCATAGCTGTTAAATTGAACGCCATTATTCTCTGCTATATGTATCAGCCATGCTAATCGAACTCATACACCAAATCACTCGAGGAATTATTAATCCAAAAGCTAAACAATTCAGAAAGGAAATCTGAATATTATTACTGACCAGATATACAATTGCATAGGAAATGAATGGTACAAGTTTTTCAAGTGACAGGTTAATTTTTGGTGCCAGCATAGCGGTTGACAAAGGCCAGCGCAATGCTTGTCATGTGTGCAACTTTCTCAATTTGGCTTCTTACAGTGGCTTTGACATCTCCATCTGTGGCATTCTCAGAGAAGCCATCCATGCAGGTATCTTGGTCAGTCAAAGCTGCACTCACCCATGTTTCTATATCACTCATTCGGAAAGCAAAGCTTTTGCCTTCAATTTCATCCATTTCACCGATAGACCTTTTGAGTTCATCAACTGAATCGCTTATTTCTTCCACACAATCCTGAAGGGCTGCAGCCTCTCGGGGCTCCAAGTCCTGGCTTTTGCTGAGTTCTGTAAGGAATTTCGAAGCAGAAAGCGTGGTGTTAAGTGTCAAGGAGAGGGACTTGCTGGCTAATATTTTGGGGCTGGCTTGGATTTCACTTGCATAGCTAGAAAAGGTGGTGAAACACAAGTCAGGGTAGCTTGTGGCACCGCAAGAAGTTTTTATGAACTCTGTATCTGTTTCAGAGCTGAGAATTTTTCTAGATGCTATGCAAAAGTTTAGGTGAGTTGCAAACAGGATGCGGATGAGAATGGCTGCTATTGAAAAGTATGAACTTGCCATTTTTCTTCTCGCTTTCTCTCTCTCTCTTTCTGCAGAAAAGCTTGAGAGATTGATAATTATTGGCAAAGATAGGTCTCTTAATTTATAGAAAAAGCTCACGGCTGTGGTTCCCACAAAAAGAGCTCGAGAAAGGAAGCTAGCAATGAAGCCAATATATAATTTCAATTTAAGATGGGGCTAGAACAAAAACAATGTAGATATTGTATGTGGTGAGAAGTTTTTCCATTTAAAATCCATGACAAAAATATAAATATATTTCTTTTTTTCTCTTATCAACCAATTCACATTTCAAAGTCCCTTAATACATTAGTGTTAATTTATTTAAAAATGAATAGAGATTTTCCTTATTATAGAAGTATAAGCATGTTCCGTTTAGTTTTTTCTAACTTAAAATCTATTATGAAATTTTTATTAAAAATAATAAATTTTAAAATTAAGCTAAAATTATTTGATAAGTTGTTTGGTAAAATAAATTTACCATAACGAGTATTTATGTTATCTTCAATCGCTTAATAAATTAAAATAGAATAAGTTTATTTTGAGTTTATATACGATTTCAAATGTTAAAAATAAAAAAAATTTCTAAAAAAACGAATAATTCTCAAAGTTGTATAATAGTAATAGTATTAATTTTTTAGTGAAAAAAGGAGAAAACTTAGCTAAATGCAACTTTGAATTTTGAGTTTTTTTTTCTTTTAATCTTTATAAGAATAGAAAAATTTTAGATTTTGTTATTCTCTTATTAGGTTTTTTATTTTTTTCTAATAATCTTTGTAGAGAGAGATAGAAAAGAGGGAGATTATGATTTTGCATTGGATAAAGATGATGCCTAGAGAGAGAGAGAGAGAGAGGAGAGGGAGATTGATGGAAAGAAAAGAGTTTTTTTTGAAAAATTGGCATGTTTTTACAAGAAGAGAAGAAAAAGCTCCTTGTTGGAGTTTTTTTTTAACTTTTTTTTTAAATTTTATTCTTAAAAAAAGTTATTTTTTAAAAGTGTTTTTTTAAATCCTGTTTGATTTGATTTTTACTTTTAAAAAATAAATAAATTAAAAAAACACCAAGTCAAACAAACCTTTAATAATATTATTTTTCATCACCAAATATATAAAGGCGCTTGAATTTTGCTCAGTGACCTTAATAAAAAATATTAAGCATCCTATGATAAATTAAATTATATGAAGAGAAAAGCATTTTAACCACTAATCATGCTGTCAGTACTTATCAATTCAATTATGCTTGATAAAAAATTGTATGTTGAGAAAGAAAGATATTTTATGCTCATGGACCCTCACCTGATGAAGATTGAGATATTTTAGTAATGCTTTCTCAAGCATATTTTCATGGAGATAGTAAACGTGCGAAACTTTGTTTCCGCAACATGCTAGGAAAGCATACAATTATTATAATAATATATTTAAAAGAACAATGATAGCACAGTCGTATAATTTAATGAAGGTTAAAATTTTATTTTCTATGAAAAAGAGGATCAAAAGTTCTTTCTTAGAGGAATCTCATATGAAGGTAACGCCCCTTTTTGTTTGTGAAGAATGAGATTTCTTTTTGCGAGCAAGTTATTATTGTCCAAATACGGTAATTAGATTAATCAATTGTCCATATATAGATATATAGATTGATCAAACAACCGTTTTATAGATTAATTACCATATATAATGTTTTTCCCTTCTAAGAAAAAGAAAAGACTTAGGTAATTACATAGCCAAAAAAACCAAAAAGTTACAGTTCTTATTTCGGATAAAATTCGTGAAGAGGAAAGTCAAATAGTGACTGGCTAGCTAGGATCCATTCCTTATTTACTGCATCTTAAACAACAAGAGATCCCTTACATGGCGCACGGCACATGGAAGATAAGAAATTCCTTAGCAGAGGCACATGAAATTAAGGAATATAAAGCACATGACAAAATCAAAGTCCCTCAATTCTTACTTATCTTGTCGATCAGTTAAGGAGAAGGTCAATGGATCCAAAACAGGACAAGAAATTAATAAAAGAAAGGAATCTTCTGTGTGCTGACCTGTAAGACTCTCTCCCTCTTTTACTTTTTTTTTTTTTCTTTCTTCTGGTAGAAGGCTTGAATTAAAGTCGGGGCATGTGAGACAATGCTCTCCGACCACAATCTTAAATTAATGTTAATTTGCGGTAAGCTCGTTGACCTCACAAAGAAAGATCTCTTTGATCTCTCTCTCATGGACCTGTTACAACTGACGAGCAAGTTATGAAACTAGGCTCAACTTTTTGATTGTTTCAGTTATTCAGTTATTCTCGACTTGAGATTTTGACATATGGGCGACCAGGGTAAGTTCGCTGTCCTCCTGGCTACATCTAGATATCTTTATCAATTTAATCCCCAAACTTTATTAGGCTACTATGAGCTTATTTGTCTTGTCAACTTGCGTGTGGGAAACCTTTCAAATTTAGCGTCACGCTTCTTCCACTATCAATTCAAGCTCTCCATTCTCCTTTCATGTCTATGAAGTATGGTTATGAAGTCTCTTTCTAACCAAAATTTTATATTTTCTCTTTTAAATTTTCTGATCAACTTAATTCTTAGAGAATTTTGATCATAAAACCCTTTTGGCTACTTTATCGACCTTTTCTTTTTCTTATAGATTAGATTATGAGAATTTGTGAGTAAACACAGAAATTCTTAACTAATGCAGGAAACTTCTAATGAATTTTTTATTAAAAAATGAGTACAGCTGAGGGTATTTATACCCAATTCCTAATTTTCTAATAACAGTAATGAAAAGTCTTCAGTTTAGTTAATTCTTAACCAATTAATATTTACAGCCAAGTAAGAGTAAATTCAGTAAAATTAATTAATTAAAATAAATATCTATGTGTATTTGAAATCCTCAAGTCATATAGGAGGCATGGGAGGTCTTCCTTCACTCCATTTCGCTTCTGCAAAGCTTTCCGCCAACAGCACTGTGCCTTGATTTCATTCAACCAAACTTCTTTTAATCAATATTCATCTTCCCTTGCTGATGTAGATATTAATTTTCTTTTAAAATTAAATTGACTTTTGCATGATTAATGATTAGAATTGAATAATTATAAATTAGTAACAAAATGATGAAATGTATAATTGATATGAACCCAAGCCGCTAAGTCCAAAAAGCAAGTTGACAAAGGAAATAACTAGAATGCAAATCCCTAATCAGGGTGACAGGTTTAGTTACGACTAATTGTACGTGGCAGCATAGCGATTGACAAAAGCCGACGCAGTGCTTGTCATATGTATACAACTTTCACAATTTGTTTCCTCACAGTAGTTTTGACATTCCCATCTCGGCTTTCCCAGAGAAGCCATCCATGCATGTATCGTCGTCAGTCAAAAGCTGCGCTCACACATGTTTCTGTATCTAGGGATATGCAAATGGAAATCGAATTGAAAAATCGAATCGAAGTAAATTCAATTTTTTTAATTTAGTTAGTATAATTTTTAGATAGTTTGGTTATTAGAATTAATTTGATTCGGTTTCAATTAAAAAATTTTTAAATCAAAATAATCGAATTTGAATAACGGTATAATAAGGTTTTTTCATGAGAAATAAATTATAAATTATTGTTATTATTTTCATTCATACTTTTTAATTATTTATTATTTGTATGAGTATTCATCTTATTTATTTTAATTGTTTATCTTCATTTTTAATATTTTTATAATATTAATTTATAAAAAAATACAATGTAAATAAATATACACAAACAAAAAAAAAAGAAAATTTTCAAATTCAATCTTCGGAAATTAAACCAAATTAATTCAATTGCAATTAATTTAGTTATTTGTGAAATTCGATTCGATTTTAATTATTTTTAAATATAAATTCAATTGATTCAATTATTAAATATCTAAAACTGAATTAACCAAAATAACCTTTAGTATCACTTATTCGGAGGTCCTGCATCCGGATCCATTTCACCAATGGCCCTTTTCAGCTTAGCAAGTGATCCCTTTACTTCTTCCACGCAATCACGCATGGCTGCAGTCAATTTGCGCTTTTGCCCTTGGCTTTTGGAGAGTTCTACGATCGTTGTTGAAGTAGAACGTGTGGTGTCAAGCGTGACCGAGAGCGCGGTGCTGGCTTGGACTTTGGATGCATAGCGCTAGAGAAAGTGGTGAAACACAGGTCAGGGTAGGTCGTGGCACCGCATGAGGTTCTGATGAACTCGGTGTTTGTTTCAGTACTAAGGATTTTCCTAGCTGCTATGCATGAGTTTAGGAGAGTTGAAACATGAAACTGAATGAGGATGAGAAAAAGAGCTGCTATTGAAAAGTGTAAGCTTGCCATCTCTCTCTCCTTCTCTGTAGAATGAGTTTTAATCGATGATTTTATGGAAGAGAAAGATTTCAATTCATACCCAACAAAAAGAAATTAGATATCAATCTATAAACACCAAAGACGTCGACCGTGGTTCCAAAAGAAAGACCTAAGTTTAAGCATTTGATGAGTTATTTTCATCATTAAACATTTAAACTAAGTTTTATCTAAATTAATTTGGTCATTCAAAACAATATTGGGGAAAGTAGTTTATTTGAAGTTCTGCCAGCACATATATATATATATATATATCTTAATTAATTTAAGAAATTAATATAGTTTTGTCTATTTTTTAACTAATGTTTCATCCAAAAATACCTAAAAAACAGCTGGAAATGTGCTAATAGGCCCTATAGAACCATATTATGCAATATATGATAGTTAATTAAATATTTACGATTAACAGCATAGAATTTGGCAATTAAAATATGCCCAAAGGAATTTCTTTGTCAAAGACGAAAGCAAGATATATTCTATCCTCATGGACCCTCACCTAGACATTTACATGTTTGCCAATTCATTCTGCAGAGAAAACGTGCAAAACTTTGGTTGGTAACTGTCACTATAATTAATATAAACAATAATTATTAAGAGAAAAGTTAGCAATCAAAGAGAATAATGACAGATCAGACGCTTAATTCATAGTAATTGCGATCATTGTTGGACTATTATAAGTGAAGATAATGTTATTCAAAGAGGCTACAACTAGAAGAAGACAAGAATGATGGAGAAATGTCTTTAATTTGTTTATTTCAATTTCTTTTTCAAAACAATGTATATCATACTTAATTATTTCATTTTCCCACCACGTTGTCCTTTCTATTTAATTTTTTAAATATGAGTTTTTTTTTTTTTGTGTTGACACTGCAATCTCAAGGTAATGCTAGACCGGACCTCATCAATGAAAATTAGGTGTAGATGAGAATAGAGAAATACAAGATAAAAAGAGTATTTCAATATCGTGCAAAACTAAGACCAGAGTGATTGTAAACGGGTGATTACAAGTGATTACAATTAGGGACATTTCTTTGGTCTACATCTTGTTTGCCAAATATATAATATAAAAGATTAAACAATAATAGGTTGAGCTATCATTATCTATTTGAGTGGTGGAATTCTTATGTGATTGTATTATTATCTTCCTCCATAGTTTGATTTGATGTGCTACTACAAGTCTTTTATTTTTAACATTTAAGACTTGTTATTGGTATGCATGCTATATTGAGTTAATAAACTCATTTTTTTTAAAAAAAGTAAACATTAATGAAAGATGAAGAGTTTTACAATTCACTTAATTGAACCAATAATCAAAGTTCATACTTATGATTACTTGAACATTTTTTATGAAAATCTTATGTTTTTAATAATTAAATTTTAAAAAATTAGTATATATGTATGGAAAAAAAATACCTGACTATTTGAATAGTACAGGATTTTTTTATCATTTTAGCCAGTGAAATTGTAATACATATAGCACACATATGCTAAAGCTTTAAACAGTCACATTTTTTGTGAATAAATCATAAATCTTATTAATCTTCTCAGACGGTACAAAAAATATAAAGCATCTCAATTGAACAACACTGATCACTCGATCTGATATTGCCAAAAAGCAACAAAATTGAAGAAATTAAGCTGTTAACAGGTAAAGTGACTTGGCTTTGGTATTTCTCGTACATTTTGGTTTTACCCTGCAAGTGTCAAGCCCTGAACATTATTGTTATTATTATTAAAACTTCCCAGTTGTGTTTGATGAACTCAATTATTCACTCCCAAAAGTCATGCAAATTTAGCTCAAAAATCAATTTACTTGAGGAAAGATTATCAATCAGTCCATAAGCAAAAAGATTCCGAACAAGAATTTGCAAAATATTTGTCACCTATAGCCAGCAAAAAATATATGAATAGGAAATGGAATACAAACTATATATAAAACCAAAACCTCACTCAAGATGCATAACAGGTAAGCTATATATGATTAATGAGTGTCAGCAGCATAGCGGTTGACAAAAGCCAAGGCAATGCTCGCCATATGTGCAACCTTCACTACTTGTCTCCTCACAGTCTTGAAGTCTCGTTTCATGGCTTTCCTGGAGAGGCCACCCATGCAGGTATCATCATTAGTCAAAGCTGCACTCACCCACGTTTGTATATCACTCGTTCGACGATGAAAATTGTCGCCTCGTCGAGGAGGACTCATTGCATTAATAGAGTCTTTGAGCTCATCGACAGAGTCCCCTAGTTGTTCCACGCAATCACGCAGGGCTGCAGCCTCACTGCGCTTTAGGCCGCGGTGTTTGGAAAGATTTATAAATGCTTTCGTAGTAGAACGAGTGGTGTTAAATGCCACGGAGAGGGCAGTGGAGGCTAACAACCTGGGGCTACCTCGGATTCTGGTTGTATATCTAGAGAAGGTGGTGAAACACAAGTTTGGATAGAGAGTGGCACGGCAAGAGGTTCTGATAAATCGGGTGTTTCTTCCACTAGGATGAATTGGTGCAGCTGCTAAGCATAAGTTCAGATTAATAGTGAGCTGAATAAGGATGACAAGAGCAGTTATGGAAAAGTATGAACCAGCTGCCATCTTTCCCTTGGTGGAAGCTTGTTGAGGGACGTATCTCAATTTATAGAAAAAGATGGACCATGTGCCTGTGAAATGATTCCGCAAAAAGTGCTAGAAGTACTTTTGGGAATAACTGATAAAATATTACTCTTATTTTCTTCTTACGATCATATACAATGTTGTTGCCTACGAATTAATTTGTTTCTTTGTCTAAACGAAGACCTTAATTTTAGAAATTAGTTCATATGTATAAGTTTTTCATCAACAATTCAGGGAGAGAAAGGCTGGACCTGTGCTCATTGACCCCTATATAATTTATTGGACATGCGTTTTAAAATCAATCAATGACAGTTAGATAATGAAAACAACACGTAAACCGCTAACCAAACTGCAGGAGTTTGAAATAGAAAAGGTGATTTCCCTGCCTTAGAGTATTCTGTTCTGAAGCAAATTGGCGAAGAGAGAATGAACGTGCTTTCACAACATTATCCCTGTTGCCAACAACAACAACATAGTCAATGGCCTGCATATTCCGCTATAATCAAGATCTCTCACACCTAACAAGCTGATCAATCTAACCTCTGCGCAAGTTTCAATCCCCAAACAATACCAATACAACAAAAATCAAACCCAAGGCAAAAAATTATACTAGTACATTTAAGAATAACAATTAATTAAGAGAAGAATGAAATATCATAATGGTCATGCACTATAAACCAATGATTAAGGAAATTACTGAAGCTCATGTTTATCAATGTGAGGATGGGAAGAATTTATAGAAATCCTTATATTCTATGTCTTCTGATTTCTTTTTAGTTCAAAATTGAGATTTATGAATACATGTAGTGAACTAGTGATAGATATATCCAAGATTTCACAGATATCACAATCACTTCCTCTTTGACATCAAATGAAAAACCACCTAAATGAGCCATATGATTTCTTTTTAATCCATCAATTTGTTTTTTTTTTGTTCACTCTGTTTTTTTGTAATTTCTTGATTATTAATTATTAGGTATAATGTTAAAGAAGTTATTTAAACTTTTCAACAAAATTCAAATAAGACCTTATTCTTCTATTACATTCAATTAAACTCTTATACTTTTATTTTAAGTCAAATATGCTTTTAAGACTAGTGGTTAACTTAATAAAAAACCTACTTGTCATTTTACAGTGACATGGAAGGTGAAAAATACAAATATAATCATATAACCATGTCATGTGACACATAACATAAATTATTATTTTTAATTATTTAATTAACTAAATTATTTTATTCTATTATATTTTTAATTTTTGGATTATAATTGCTTAAAATTAATCTATTTTTTATTTGTTGCTTAAATAGTTTTTTAAAAAATTTCATTTTAAGGGATTTTGAGTTTTAGTTTATTTAATTGTTTAATTTACTAAATTAATTTTTATGTTATTATATAATTATTTAGAATTAATACATATTTATTTAATTTACCTACCAAATCAAACGGAAATCACATTTCATAAATCATATTGGTTCATTTTAATTTCATAATGTATCTCTACTTTTATTTCTTGCTTACTTTACCTAGCAAGCCATGCGAATCAATAAAAATTGGGCCGAATCTAGTGGGCATACCCACCAACAGCCCGCTCCCATTTCCTTCTCAAAGCCTAACCGTCATTTGCTCTCCCATTCGCCGCCAATCCTCTCTTTGAGGAACCTAAAATTTGTGGTTGAAGTTTTGGGTTCCAGTGTGGTTGGAACTTGGATGATGTTGTGAACTCTTGGATATTTTGTTGGTGAGTTTTTTAAATGTTTTGTACGCTCGCTCATGTGACTTTGTTGTGGGCATGCCTGAATTAATCCATGTTTAAGAATGGCAAACTCCTAACAGTTTGATAAATACTTGGGCTTTTGTAGTGTCATTGATGAATGCACTAGCAGTTTTTAGTTTAGTTTCCGCATTGCTGTATGGAGTTTCTGTTCAATGAATCATAAACCATATTACAGAGATTGTCGGCAACTAAGAGTAACTCTTTCTTCTGCAATGCTGCATTAACGGATGAATTTAACAAAGAAAACTGTGCTGAAATCAATCTTAGCTCGTGTTAGAGCAACATTAATCCTATACCAGTCTACAACTCTTTCTTTGGACGGTAATCTTGGTAAAATTTAGAGGCACAGATCGTAGCTTTAAGGGAGGCTTTCCGTGTTCCGAAAGAGTACTTACGTTAATAGGATCACAATAAATTTGCTGTTAATTTATGGAGGCTTGGACAGTACACTATAAGCTCACTTCCTACAACACTTGGTGATCCTTTGTGAGCTATAGATCAATAAAGTTGACTCTTGTTTTCATTTAATTTGGCACAAACACCACATTTTAGCCTTCAGAACTGATTTATAGATTGTGAAGCATTTCCAAACAATAGTATGCCATGAGTTCGATTACTATAAAGTTGATAAAGAAGCAATATTTCACCACCTGGTATTAGGTGGGTGAAATATTGCTCTAGCAATTATTTATTAATATTATCATAGGTAGTCTTTCAAAGAAGAAATGATCATCATAGGTACAACCCTATTTATATGTTCCATTTTTCTTCCTTTGGCAGAGACACCGGCTGTTTCTTGATTCTTGCCAAGCAGTTGTCTGCGGGCCTTGAATGCGGCAAATACCTAATTTTACTCTCGGGATTAAGCCGCTCCAGCCTGCGACACACCAGAACAAAGGAAAATATTACTACTTCATTCTTAGAGAAGCGTGCTGTAATCGAAGTTGTGCTTAAAGGCATTTCCAATCACCAAACTATGTGACTTCAGCGTTTTTCTTAGATATTCGTTGGTAAGTGTGATGATATGTGAAAACCGATAATCACATTACAAGTAAGATAAATAACCAACATTGCAAAATAACTTACTGATAGTTAAGGAGAAAATGATGAAGAAAAATAGCAATTTCAAGCTTGGCAAGATCATTTCCAGGGCACAATCTGCTTCCTGCTCCAAAGGGAAGGAAAGTCCCCGCTTTGGCAGCATAATCCTGGACAGGTTTTTAAATTTGTACAATTAATAAGTAATATGTTATGCTTATGGCTGATGCACGTACATATAGAGAAAAGCATTGGTTTAAGAAGAATGAAAGCGCTCTAAAACTTACATCCCAGCGAGAAGGATTAAATTCTTTTGGATTTGTATAAATCTCAGGATCCAAGTGAACACTTCTGAACCAGGTTAGAACTTTCCATCCCTTGGGAATGGTGTAACCTGCAACAAGATCAGTAATGTATGGTCTTGCAGCATATCATAAACTGACCTAAATTAAGAAATTCTATAATATTGTTGAGAAAAGAAAAAGGAATTCTAGAATATCAAATTACCGCTTATATTGACATCTGTTATTGCCTCGCGGAAGACCATCAGTGAGAATGATACCAAGCGGAGCGTCTCATCAATCACCTTCAGAAATCAAATTAACGAGTGAAAGGAAACGTTCTAAATTATACTCAACGTCGAACAATCTTGGCCCAAGCCGTAAAATTTACTAAATATAACAAAGAGGTACCTTAGAAAGATAATCCATTTCTCGAATATCCTTAAGCGATAAACCATTCTGTGTTGGTGGCCTTTTTTTAATGATCCTCTCCTGCTCCGCCTGTAACATTGTCAAGTCTAATGAAAAAACAGCAAACGAAAGTTCTAATAATACTCAAGAAAGTAAATTAACTAATAACAAGTTTACTACATCTAAATTATGTTACCTTTGCTTTCTCTAGAAATTCCGGGTGTCGCTGCAGGAAAATAGTGGCCCACATTATAGTATGACCAGAAGATTCATGGCCTGCATTCAGGTACATTAACATAATATCAATGATTTCCTCGTCATCCAAAGTTTCACCTTTCTCGTCTTTGACATCTATCAAGGCATCCAACATGTCTTTCTTCTTGGTTGAGTTATTCATCTTCTTCTGCTTTCTCCGCTTATTCACTATGGATTGAAACACTGCCACTAGGTTTTTCCGAGCCTGAAGGAAAGAAAATCCAGTTCTATCCCTGGTTAACGTACGATTACCATTTTCGCATGCAAGAAAAGAAGTAAGAAAATCTCACCTTGAGGGCTTTGTAGTAAGCAAATCCCGGGATATTGATTGCCATGGCTCTAACTCCATAGTTCAGTGTAGTGTACTCCCTTTCCAAGGCTTCCATTTCCTCTTCGCTTTCTGAGCTGAGGAAAATATACATTATTATCCTAAAAGTGAGCCTTCGGAGTTCCGTTAAGAATTCAATGTCTCCCATGTTGGACCATTTTTCCAAGGCAGATATCACATTCTCTTCAATGTATTGGATGTACAATGACAGTGCTTCATGGCCATTGACAGGAGCTGCAGTTAAACGGCGGAGACGCTTGTGTTCTTCATAAGAAATGCCAATAAATGATTTCTTTCCAATGAGCTCCACTGTGGCAGTAGGCCATCCAGGTTTAAATGCATCATCATCGTTCAACACTCTCTTACATGTTTCCGGCATTGTAACAATCACACTCGGGTTCCCAAACATGAAGGCCTTGTAGATTCCAATGTGTCCGAACCTGCGTTGTTTGTTCGATTAAACAGCAAAAGTTATTAGCACATTGGGAAATGAGCTCGTGCATCAATGAAGTTCTCATAAAAATGTACAGAAAAGCTAAAGTTTTTGAGAGTTGAGTATATATTTATAAAAAATAAAATACAAATTTATTTATTTATGTTTGATTATTCAGAAAAAATAAATATTTTATGAATCAGTTCATTACTTTATAGCATTATCAAAAGCATGTAAGTCCCTAAAGTTATTCCATATTGCACAGTTACTGTTAGCCTAGGGTGTTTTCCTTTATGACCGTGATAGCTATACACATATATGTTGGTTTGTAAATTGTAAGTGTTAAAGGGAGAGAGAAATGCTCAAAATTTACCAGCTCTCTGATCGAAAAGGAAGTTGTTTGTTTGCAAGCGAAAAAGGAAAACAGACGCTCTGTGTTTGTGTTTGCAAACGTACAACA